GTGTTTGGGTCAAGCCTAGGGTCTAGTTCTTCTAGTTCGGTCCATTTGATGATCCCTCTTGAAAGTCGTTTGAACTTTCTGTCCTTCTGTGCGGATGAGCTAGTGCCAAGATATAATCGTAATGCACTACTCATAGAGTTGTTGAAAATCCGTCAACAGCCCATTGGGATGTGTGTATAAAATTAACTGCAACGATTGCACTAAGGTCTACATAGGACAGATTGCCAGGGAATAGCACGCCAGAATTGGCGAGCATAGAAGAAGAATAAACAAACCACCATGAAATGCAGAATAATACCAAACGCTAGTCAAATACTTCAAGATGGCGGTATATGCCTTAGACACGGGACATAGAATAGATCTGGTGAACCTGGAGGTTTTAAGACGGGAACTGTAATTCACACTACAGCGGCTGATAGCCGAGGCGGTGGAAATTACCAAGCATCGCAGTGTGAATGGAATCGAGGGTGTGGAACTGGCGAGCGTATGGAAAGCAGTCATAGATAAGCCGAGTTGACAAGTGACCGTGTGGTTGTCAATCCACGTAGAATTATTAGCAAACCTGGGGGCTAGGGGTGGAAATCCCAACCCGAACAAGGGTCACAGCATCCCCCTTAAACAACTATCTTAGCATTAGCTCATCCACAGACGAACGAAAAGTTCAAATGACGTTCAAGAGGGATCATCAAATGGACCGAACCAGAAGAATTAGACCCTAGGCTTGATTTGGCATAATGTAAGTTTCACCCATACCAAATAGTAATTGTGAGATTAGAGATTTAAGGTTTACTTTTTCGCCTTTGCGCAGTCATTGAGACGCTAATTTGTATCCTTGACGCATTTTCGCCACCCAGTCCTAAAAACTCAAAAATGGAAATAATTTAGAGTTATATTATGATCATTAGCAGTGCGTTATTGAAATTGATTTTCTTACTGTTGTCCTCGTAACCTCCTTGAGTTGAAAACGGTAGAGATTTGAGTAAACCGAGGTCCAACAAGTCCTTTTGAGAGATATGCTTATTTGCAACGATGAGTTTTCAGCAACCTTGTGAATAGTTTCCTTATGACAGTCTTTTTTGAATTATGAATTCATCGTGTGTGCGCGTCGAAGTATACACAACAATAAACTGGACAGAACCAAAAGTGTATTCCTAAAGGAATCAGTCATATCGAGGACTTTCAAAATTCTACCGAGATGGGATCTGATGGTTTGATCATGCAATAAGTCTGGTTTCAAGGTCTGAAATTTCCTTGAAACCTATTCGGTTCTTTTTAATTTTTTTCCATAGGAATTCAGTCCTGTAATTGAAACCAATCTATACTGAAAGGCCGTCAACCACTGCACACCTGGTTTATCCTTATTGGAATTCGTTAGCAGTACGCACCTAGAGAAACGCCATGGAGTTTCCAACCCGCGATCTCCCGACTATTAGTCTGAACTTCTAACCGTTCGGCCAACAGAAGCTGACCACGTGGGGACTTAATGACTGCCTCATTGAGTGACGACTTGTCGATCCGTCTTGTTCAAGGCCAACGATCTGAGAGGATTGACAAAACTACGGAATTTTGGATGAACGAATTTCTTCACTCCTTCAAATTACCACAGACACTGTGTGCTGGATATGAAGACAGAAGTTTTCCCATACAGTGAAGAGGCTCGTGATAGCAACAATCAGGATATGGTTCAAGAACAATGATACGCACTTGCATTGAGNCGCACTTGCATTGAGGTCATACGTCCCTGGAGATTTTCGAAATCAACGCTAACAATGATCTTCAACATAGATGGAACCAATGTGTAATAAGGGTGTCAGTTTTTCGGCACGGAATAGCCTTTTTTGTAGAAAAGGTTTTGGTTGAAACTTATTACCCATAACATTGCAGCTTGGATGTTTGATGGATGAAAACTCCCTTGTACACTTTCCCTTTGACAGTTAAAACCCGAGGCTTACAGCAGCATAGGGAGCAGGGGAATAAGTTTTTTGGACAAATTGCTGATTAGTGAGAACAAGACCGCATTTCGGAGTTCGCAAAAAATTTCTTCAGAAGCCCGAACTTGTCCGTATGAACCTGCGTCAGTTTGGTGCCAGTATATCCCATGCTGTGACTAATGAGTCACGTGACTTTGTGTGTCAGTTTTTTATATGAGCGCTGTAGAGCAGAAGCAGTGTATGGTGGTATCTTTGTCCCCTGTCCGCCCACTCAGCTGATGCAGTAAAGTGCAGGCAAGTCCACGGCAGAAATGGGTGCCCTCATCAAAAGCGTGCGCACCGAAAGCGCATTCATCAAGGATGTAAAAGACAGCGGTCCATCAACTCCGCAGTTTTTGGACTGTGGGTCCTCGGTTTGACGTGTTCTTCGAAAGTGCACCTACCTGTAATCACCTATTCCGGAACACCGCAGGTTAAGTTAGTTCATTTTGACTAAATTAGACACAAACCGATACCAACTCTGTAAAGAACTTTTGTGGTTAACTGGAATGCTAGGGGTAAATTTGAGTACACATATTGGAGATATCAAATCAAATCAAATCAAACTTTTTCGCCTTTGCGCAGTCATTGAGACGCTAATTTGTATCCTTGACGCATTTTCGCCACCCAGTCCTAAAAACTCAAAAATGGAAATAATTTAGAGTTATATTATGACCATTAGCAGTGCGTTATTGAAATTGATTTTCTTACTGATGTCCTCGTAACCTCCTTGAGTTGAAAACGGTAGAGATTTGAGTAAACCGAGGTCCAACAAGTCCTTTTGAGAGATATGCTTATTTGCAACGATGAGTTTTCAGCAACCTTGTGAATAGTTTCCTTATGACAGTCTTTTTTGAATTATGAATTCATCGTGTGTGCGCGTCGAAGTATACACAACAATAAACTGGACAGAACCAAAAGTGTATTCCTAAAGGAATCAGTCATATCGAGGACTTTCAAAATTCTACCGAGATGGGATCTGATGGTTTGATCATGCAATAAGTCTGGTTTCAAGGTCTGAAATTTCCTTGAAACCTATTCGGTTCTTTTTAATTTTTTTCCATAGGAATTCAGTCCTGTAATTGAAACCAATCTATACTGAAAGGCCGTCAACCACTGCACACCTGGTTTATCCTTATTGGAATTCGTTAGCAGTACGCACCTAGAGAAACGCCATGGAGTTTCCAACCCGCGATCTCCCGACTATTAGTCTGAACTTCTAACCGTTCGGCCAACAGAAGCTGACCACGTGGGGACTTAATGACTGCCTCATTGAGTGACGACTTATCGATCCGTCTTGTTCAAGGCCAACGATCTGAGAGGATTGACAAAACTACGGAATTTTGGATGAACGAATTTCTTCACTCCTTCAAATTACCACAGACACTGTGTGCTGGATATGAAGACAGAAGTTTTCCCATACAGTAAAGAGGCTCGTGATAGCAACAATCAGGATATGGTTCAAGAACAATCAAAGTGTGGATGATACACACTTGCATTGAGGTCATACGTCCCTGGAGATTTTCGAAATCAACGCTAACAATGATCTTCAACATAGATGGAACCAATGTGTAATAAGGGTGTCAGTTTTTCGGCACGGAATAGCCTTTTTTGTAGAAAAGGTTTTGGTTGAAACTTATTACCCATAAAATTGCAGCTTGGATGTTTGATGGATCAAAACTCCCTTGTACGCTCTCCCTTTGACAGCTAAAACCCGAGGCTTACAGCAGCATAGTGTACAGAGGAATAGGTTTTTGGGGCAAAATGTTGATTAGTGAAAACAAGACCGCATTTCGGGGTTCGCAAAAAATTTCTTCAGAAGCCCGAACTTGTCCGTATGAACCTGCGTCAGTTTGGTGCCAGTATATCCCATGCTGTGACTAATGAGTCACGTGACTTTGTGTGTCAGTTTTTTATATGAGCGCTGTAGAGCAGAAGCAGTGTATGGTGGTATCTTTGTCCCCTGTCCGCCCACTCAGCTGATGCAGTAAAGTGCAGGCAAGTCCACGGCAGAAATGGGTGCCCTCATCAAAAGCGTGCGCACCGAAAGCGCATTCATCAAGGATGTAAAAGACAGCGGTCCATCAACTCCGCAGTTTTTGGACTGTGGGTCCTCGGTTTGACGTGTTCTTCGAAAGTGCACCTACCTGTAATCACCTATTCCGGAACACCGCAGGTTAAGTTAGTTCATTTTGACTAAATTAGACACAAACCGATACCAACTCTGTAAAGAACTTTTGTGGTTAACTGGAATGCTAGGGGTAAATTTGAGTACACATATTGGAGATATCAAATCAAATCAAATCAAACGAAATCAAATCAAATCAAACCAAACCAAATCAAATCAAATCAAGTCAAATCAAATCAGATCAAATGTGAGAACACTAAGCTCAAAACTTTCAGGCAACCTGAAGGAACCACGATATTGGTAATATTTCCATGTTGGACAGCCTAGGCAGGATCCATCGAGAACTCAGGGTGGGATTCGAACAACAGACCTCCTGCTCAATTACTCGTACCCTACTAGATAAACTCCTCCGAGGTCATGCACAACTTACGTACTTTGAAGTCCGATACATCCTTTGAAGTAGACAAGTAACAGTGTTGTAAATTTGATAGAGAAAAATACATATAAGTAGACTAATTCAGCAGTCACAATGATTTGTAAATCATGTAGGTTCATTTAATACTCTATAAAATTGCTGGACTGAAAACAGTCCCCTGGCAACAGATCGCCTCTCTTGGTCTGTAATTTCACCCTTAGGCGACAAGTGTTTGACGGCTTAATGCAAACCGTCGCAGACAAAGAGAACACGCAACTTTTCACCAAAATTATGCAACAGAAAATTTTCGTTTCGCTTTCAAAGCTGAATAATGTTGGTCTGACTATTAGCATAATTTCTACTCTCCTAATTTTATGGCTGAATTCCGTTCCAGACGTCCAGACGTCGGTTGCAGGTTGGTGTATGTATTCCCTAATGTTAGCAGGTAAACATCAGAGAGGCAGTCAGAGTGTAATGAGACTAACCTTTCGACGAATATGCCGGCCCGGATCGCATTGGCCACACTGCGGAATCGTGGTTTCTGGTTTCCGATACCACTGAGTGCCTGTGTTCGGGTGAACGTTGAGGCCAACCAGTCACGGACTTCGTCTGGAACAAACTCCGTGGCCGCTTCAGATAAGTCTTCCTCTTCTTCGCGGATTCTTCTGTTGGGGAAAACGTCAGTGGTATATATGCGGGGCGTAGTTGTAGAAAACAATAAGCATTTCATGAACCTACCCTCTTGGAACCTTCTCACAAGCCTCTGACAGAAAGGAAATGTCATACTAGCATTATCATTGCAACTAGTATCCATTTGACAATGTTATTGAAGTTGATTTCTTGTTCCTAGCCAACATAATTAATATGGTGACGAGAACAAATGAGAATCCGTGATTCTCATGCCTACTTCCCTATTTCACAGAATAACCCGTATGTCTGATCTATGGTGTCGTCCCCCGAGTGAGTGTTTTTCAACTTCGAAGCCCAAAGAATCGCTGGAGTTTGGGAACCCCATCTTAGTTATCGTACAAACAGCGGAATCACCGAAGCTGTTATCGCAATTTCGAGTACATTTACTACTTTTCTTTTAGCAATACAACACACTGGTGAGATTGTGAATGGACAACGATCAAGGAAGCGAAACCTAGATAGCTCACGATTCGGCAAAAAAGCCCCAGATTTCATTGAAACATTATTAACTGTTCAAAAGTCAGCTTAGTGGTGAAACCTTGCCGGTGGAAAACTAGCATCTTCAGATATTGACGTGTAAAAGCAGTCTCATCGGAAACGATGTGAAACGACCCTGATTGCTTTTGTTAAAGATGCGCGGCAGTTGGTTTATTGCACCATATACTGATAAAAACATAAAGGGGACGAATGGAAAGGCGAGGATCACACCATGTTTTATCTATTTAACCGCAGGGCGAGATGCACCAGAGCTAGGCTGTTTTAATGCGATTTGTTGAATTTTCGAAAAACAAGCGAATACTCATGCCTGCACCGCTGTCGAATCCATATGCAACTATTTCATCAAAGGAAGAAAAACCCATTTTAGGCGGGCCACCTTCACCATCGCGGATAAGAAAGCTCTAGTTGACATTCTCTGTGCAACCACAGGCTTTCAGATTTCTATCCGACTTCTTCCGAAAAATCTGAGAACAAAGAAACTTCATTGATATTGCATCAGGTGCACTCAGAGTGACACCAGTACTATTAACCAGTACATTTTTAGAGTTACTATTTGATTTTCGAAAATCGTTTATTTGCTAATTTTATTTCTCTGTTTATCTATTTATTATTTATTTATTTATATTTATTTATTCACTCTATACCGTGGAGATGATTCAGAGCGGAGTGATTCTGTCAAGTTGTCACATCTTCCGCTTGGTTACTTACGAAAAGGAGGCGGCGAAAGTAGTTGACCGAACGGATGAAACAGAGGTGAGTAAAGCAGAAATACTCGGGGAAGGACACTGCGTTTTGAGTTGCAAAATCCGCGAAAAAAACAAATCAAGAAAGAGGTTTAAACCAGAGGAAAATTTTCAACTGAAATAGTGAAAAAGATTTGACACCATATTTGTTATCTGTGATCGGCGGCCACACTGATTAGGCAAAGGTTCTTACATTGTTGAGGAGGATGAGGTGCTATAAAGGTGGAAAAGCGATTACGTGTCATGCTTACTCAAAATGCTATCGATGAAAAGAAAGTTTCAATTTATTGATCGGGGCTTGCAATCAAACAGGTTTCTCAGACAGATAACGTTTATTCCATCCAATAAAAAATCTGCGGTTTAAGGCATAGAGTTGCTGGTCTATCAGGACAAGTAATCTTCCGCGTTTCTGCTGCCACAAATAATTCAGACGGTTAGCTGACTTGAAAATAATAAATTCATACTAGTTTTTTGATGAATACTATGATGCAAAAGGAATTTAGAACGAAAGCGCAGTAGTTCATGGGAGTCAGAACCGCAGCTGTAGTTCTCAGCAGGTAGTGTGTGAGCAGTCCTATCAGACAGTCAGGTGAGATCAGACCATACAGCAACAGTCCGATCGATGATGTGCGTCCCGTTGCACACCCTGTACAACTAAGCATGGGCAATAAGTGGAGTGAATAACCCACAACTGTTTAGATTTGGTGGTTTGTACTACACTAATCTACTCAATGAGAGGATGGAACCTGAAGGGGCACAAATTTTCAGGTTGGGTGCGGTGGCCTTCATTTTGAAAGATTAGGGACGGACTTAGTTCACCGATACTCTCCAAAATCGACCCCCTGTAAGGTGGCTAAATAAATGAAAGTGGCATAAAGATCCTCTGAAGCTTAATCGGCTTTGTCTTTAAGAGGATACGTAAGTCGGATAGCTCACCCTGGTCATAATGTACTGCCTTCACTAAATTCAACTTAAATTCAGGATATCATGGCCTTCATATCACCTCATTGTGCTTGGGCACAACTAGTAATCACTCATGCCCTCAAGGCAATAATTTTTCTCTGAGAAGTTCACTAGTTCGTGTACAAACTTGGTGGTGTTGTTTATTACTTATACGGCCTTAGTAACACAGTTAGCTGGCCACGACCCAATTTAACTGGACAGGCATTTCTGTTGGCGGGGTGACAACCACCGGTACGTTTGGTCACGATCAAAGTTACCAGAGTGAATAGAACAGATCATTCGGAACATAAATAAATAGACAAAATTCAGATATGAGAATCAGGGTTCAAATAGATACCGTGATCTTGCGCTTGGCGATTAGAGCCTTTGAGCAGACCAGTTGAGATCTTACAGACACTGACCATAGAATTGTGAGGTAATGTGAGATTTACTAAGCCAAGCTGGTCATTTTACCACGGTGATTTTCATACCAAAGTGGACTAGTTGATTAGGTCTCTCAAGCGCATAGTCGTGTTTTTAGTATATGCCGCACTACGGGGGTAACGGTTGTGAATCGTTATGTATCAACCAATGGACAGCTTGTAATTCCATTGGAGAGACAGTTTACATAAACAGAACAGCCAGTCAGCGACAGTGAAACCGTGTTTGATAAGTGAAACAAATGGCAAATCATTTTTGCAATCAATGAAACGTACCGCCTCTCTGAAATGTAGGTAGACTCCATAACCATGATGGCATAATGAAGATTTTTCAGTAAGGTAGCCTTTCCTATTCGGTCTTGTTCAACTGCTTCGTAGACCTGCCTCATTCTGCAATTCAACCGAGGGTAAAAAATTTGATAGGAAATGAGGATAAGAATGCGATGTTTTATAAATGTGGCTGTGAAACGTTATAACAAGCAGTTGTCTTTCTAGAGGGGCATTTCCAAGTACGTCATACCTGATGTGGAAATGACTGAAACGAACCGTAAATTTTGTCGCACGACACCTGTCAATGAACAGGAAGCCCTTCTAACACAACACGGAATACGCTGCAATATACCCTAGAGAACAGCACCGTTTGACTGAAATATGTTGGACGGTTACCACATTCGATTCACAACTGTCGATCCAAAACTATGGGGAACCAGTAAACAAAATAATAGCCGTCGCACAAGTGACAGATGAAATTAATCCAAACACAGTGATCTAGGGGATGGCAATGGCAAGGCGATTTTATCAAGGCTCTCACTCTCCCATCTGAACTCCAGAGGAGATACAAAACCTTCCAGAAAACAACGAAACAAGTGAAAGGCTTTTTATGCCTCCGTTTTTTATTGTTGTGCTGTTGAACCGACGATCGCAGGGTGTAAGATGTCTAGTGCTCCAAGTTTATATGAATAGAGAGGCAGTTTGTTAGGTCCCTGCTCGTAATATTTTTATTCGTAGATTCTACACAGAATGTAGAATGCTGGGAATAGTAAAGTGCTAACAATAACTCCGTTTCCCTGATGCCCGTATTTCAGAGTCTTTCTTGGGAAAAGTTGAAAACGGAACTCCGACAATAGCTCAGTAGATTAGTATACTCTTTAATGTATAATCTGACCTTCAAAAGTACATCATCCGAAGTACAGCTGCGACCGACACAGCTATCCTGTCTGCACCGGTTTTGTGTCTAATTGTGTAGGTTAAGCTAAGACATATGGCTTCTAAGCATTTTTAAATTTGCTTGCGCTCTTGAAATCATGCCATACACTGGCAATGTAGCGAGTTCACAACAGCTTTAAGATAACCATTGACATGCAGTTGTTTTGCTCATGATCAACTCGTGTCCGCACATGCAGTACACGCATAATTTAGTTAGGTATACTGAAGACGGTAAGACGCGAAGGACCCTACTTTACGATGTAGAAAACGAATACATGGCCACAAAAGAAATCCACGGGTTCCTGTTGGTAACTCCTTGCTTTGCACCCAAGTGAAAAATTTGAACTGGACATAGGAAAACCAACCTATTGTTCCCGTTGTCCCCACTACAACGAAACACGTTATCGATTGGTTTTCCCAAAATTGACCCCAAATCACCTACCTCACATAACAGGCCCTCACTGACTCTGGAGTGTAGGCGGCATGTAGATTGTCCGTATCTGTCGGGATTCGTGCGTATTCTCCGAGAGTAGAAGTGGCGAGGTTCTTATAGAAAGTTGGCGAAATACCAGAACCCACGCATTCAGTGTCCAGTTGAGAGTCGGTGATGAATGGCCCAACAGAACGCAGGGGCACATCTTGTCCACCTGGAAGGGAGGAGAAGAACAGTCAAATTAGAGTATCAGTGAGCTAGGTACTCTGCCCAACTGCATTGTCAACATGAAAAAAGGTTCGATGACTTCTGGCATGACTGATGTGAGACTGGAACGAAAATAGCTGACGATGAAGGGCAGGCAAAAACTAATAGCGGTCTTCAAGTTACAACAAATGTTTTTCTTGTGTTTGTTTTCACAGGTAGTGCAGATGTAGGCTTACGGAGCGTGTTGTCGGGATTCGAATTTAATAAAATATGGACCACTGCAACCAGTCGAATGGGCCTTGCCATACTATGCAGTGAGATAGATGGCGTTTCCCAGCCGAGGAGAAAGAATAGCAATGTAACGCACCTCAAAAGCGATGCGTTCATCAAGAATATGACAGAGCAGTTGGTGGGGCGTAAATTAAGGACAAGGTTGACAATAGTTTTCATGTTCACAAAGTTCGTTGATGACCATCTCCAGAGTCAGAAACCTGGTGAGACTGATAAATTCTACCTGGATCAACAGGCGAGTCCAAGTTTCCAACCAGTCTGTTTGGACTTCTTTTAGCTCATTGTTTCCGGAAGAGCTTGGGAAAAATCAGAAGATTTTTTGCTGGGCTACATTTTGCTTTTGGTGTGAAAGTTTCGTCAGACCAAGTGACCAGGCTACGAGGTTGGTCAAGATTTGAGGAGGAAGGTGAACCAATCAGTTAAACTAAATCTGTTCAACAGGCGAGTCCAAGTTTCCAACCAGTCTGTTTGGACTTCTTTTAGCTCATTGTTTCCGGAAGAGCTTGGGAAAAATCAGAAGATTTTTTGCTGGGCTACATTTTGCTTTTGGTGTGAAAGTTTCGTCAGACCAAGTGACCAGGCTACGAGGTTGGTCAAGATTTGAGGAGGAAGGTGAACCAATCAGTTAAATCAAGCTAAATCTGTGTTAGGTGTCGGCTAAGGGATTTTGTTTGTTGGAATGGGTCACCAAATGTTAAGCAGATGGGGGAAATTCACATGGGTTTGGGTCAAGCTTAGGGTTTAGTTCTTCCGTTTCGCTTCGCGTGACGATCTATGTTGAACGTCGTTTGAACTACCCGTCCGTCTGTGTGAATGAGCTAGTGATACGATAGTTGTGTAGGAGAAAGGATTTCTGTGAACTCTGGTGGGGTCGGCACTTCTACCTCCCTTTTTGCTAGTGATTCTACGTGCAGTGACAACCACACACAGTCAAGTGTCAACTCGACCGCTCTCCATATACTCGCCAATTCCACAACCTCGATTTTATTCGCGCTGTGATGCTCGGTAATTTCCACTGCCTCGGCTGTCAGTCGCTGTGGTATGAATCGCAATCCTCTTCCGCATTCCTTGATGGTTTGTTAGTCCTCCTTTTATGCTCACCAGTTCTGGTGTGCAGTTTCCTGGAGGTTTGTTTTATGCTTACCCTAATGCAATCATTGCAATATTTTCATGCACACAGTCTCTAGCGCTTTCAGCCGACAGAGGAGCTTTGAACTGCACCAAAACTGAGCGTAGCGTTTTCCCGTTTCTGGAAAGCTACTCGAATGTTGACTAAGTTCAGCAATCTTCGAATAACCTCCTAGGTTTCCGATTTATGTGAAGTGACTGCTATGTTTATCCATTCGTTACTGGATCTTGATACCGGAACCAATATCCTTTTTAGTTACGGTCTGATCAAACTCACTGTTTATCCTGTTTCCTGAAGTCTGTTTTCAAAATCGATTTGAGCTACTGTTCGGTCGATCTCTTCCGTACACAGCACTCCAACTCGACTAAACATCGATGAGGCAATACTGGCGTACACAGACTTTGCGTGTGCTGATGAGTAGTTCAGGACTGTCCCTGTGTCTGTTGATTTCCGGTAAATAGTAGTTTTACTTTTTCTTTTCCTTTTTTCCTTTTCCTTTTCCTTTTGTGTTATACAGCTTGAGAAGGGTGATGTGCCCGAGGTGGACCCCATCTCCATGATAAACTTGATGATTTAAGCTACTGAGATGGTCGTGGAAGTTCTTCGCGTCATCACGGTTGATTACAACAAAGGTAACGTCAACATAACGCCAAACAATTCTTTCAGGTTACTTTGGATTTCAATAACACCTAATATCACTCTGTTATTTCGGTTTCTCTGCATCACTTTAAAGAGCCTCTAATGCGTGCCGGGAAGGCTCGCCGGATCAGTCTCAACCCGGAATCCGAACAGACATATTTTTTTAAAATGTCGCTATTAATTGTACACCGCACTACCACTTAATATCTAGTGTATACCAGTGCAATTTAAAACGTAAAGTGTAACGTGATTTCGCTTATATCACGAATGCCCATGTCCCCGTTAAGTTGTGTATCAGTAGTTTGTTCCCAGTTGCGCCACAGCGGCATCCCCATTACTCGCTTGCAAAAGCAAGGAGTAAAAAGCTATATGCGGGGTCCGCATTAATGTACGAATGTTTTTTCTGGCTCACACTGAACCTGATGTTGCAGTGCCTGAATTTCTTTATGTCACACATGAGGTGAGGAAGAATTCGCTTGCCATTAGAAAGACCGTTGCCGAATTCGAACGCAAGGCCATGTGAAAATCGGAGATAATCACAGTTTCAAACCCACTAAGTCTAATTATCATTGTTCGGAGTTTGCGTTACATCTCATTGGGACTATAGGGGGGCACTCGTTCGTGTCACCTCCCAACAGAGGCGAAGAACCAACAGATGCCTCATGACCAAGCTACTTTTTACAAGCAAGTAGGCTGATCCATGACCTATTTCCAGATAGACTCCTAAGCTACTGAAAGCCATACTGCCATTGCTCACTGGTGCTCCGGTTTAAGAGTATGACCTATGACCGGATCTGGGTATCTGAGTGTTTTGGATAACTGAGTGCTACAACAAGTCATCACATTCAAACGTTTGAACAGAGAGTTTTGGGGAACAACCATATTTTGCCAAAGGCCTGCCTGTTTGTGCTTTACGCTACAACAATCATGCATAGGGCTCCATGCACAAACACGAACATTTGGTGCTACCCGAATGGATGTGTTGATCCAGACGCCTCCCTGTCACAACGCACCTTCAGATGTGCGGTTATCCGCACGCAGGAAGCAAAGCAAATGAATAAAGAAGTGACGACAAACTCGAGCGAAACGACTCAAACAGCCTGAGGCAGAGAAAAAAGGAAAAAGAGGCATAAAAACCTAAGAGACCATGTGACAAGACTGATGAGTCTCTTCATTCGAAGGACAGTGACAAATGAAAAAATCTGTGATGCAGGAAAGCCCCTGAACTGCTGGTTTACTATGGACGAACTTTTTGGTACAGTCTTTTCTGTTGTTGGCGGCTGAGAGAGCGAAACTTCAAAATATCCGATGAATACTTCCGTTGCGCCTCTAATACATGGACGGAAGCAACAGCTTCCGTTGATTCCCGGAGAGATGTGGCAAGTCAGCAAGACGAACCTTTTGCATCTTCTTCCGCATCGCTTCTAGGCACTGGGTATTTTAACGATGAGATGACTAGTCCGATTCTCACCTAGTTCTCGTGGATTAGTGCTATTTTTCATTTGTGTTCAGTGTTGTACTAGCAACAAAACCCGAGTGTGCAAAAAACCTACCTCGTCCCATCACTAGGAGGTCCACCGAGGTCCCCAGAGAATCGGCGTAGTTCAATTGATTCTCATGTTGCAAGTGATTCTGGTCGAATCCTTTGGCAGTATTGTGGGAGGCGCGGGTTCTAGAGGGACTCATCGCGCCTGCTGGGTTGACGGAACCAACAGTCAAACTTCTCTTAGGACTTTCGACTTGTGACACTCCGGTTGACGCACAAGAGCCCATACAAGTCAAATGTCTATGAAATAGGGTGTAGAAAAGACGAAACCAGCTATCAAACAACAGGAAGAGCGACCAACACTATCAAACAGGCTTTTCGCGAACTTGACTTCTCTGAATACTCGAAAGCTGGTAGAAAACGGGTTGTCTGATAAAATTTCTCCCAATTTGCTGCGACGTGAATCCCAATACAATTTGTTTATTTTCATTCGCATTAGGAAGGAGTCAAAATAAAACGGCATCTTGAAAGTGCACACATTGGGGGGAAAAGCGACGGTAGGACACAACAGTGACTCTATTTGTATTCATTTTTTTCTGGTGCCAACTCTGGTCAATCTTTTTGTGCTAAATTGAAAAAGGTTCACTATTCTTCACTTGGCATCTGACACTCGGCAATATATATTATCTATACGTTGCTTTGTTCACAACTTGAGTGCAATTTAGTGGCTGAGGCCTTATAGTTTGAGAATAAGGGTGTCTGTTCGAAGAGAGACCAGTTGCGGATGAATTTGACTAACAGCAGTTCCACTAGGCGACTGGTCACCGTGGCAACTGGGCTGACGCCTAAATCAAACTTTGGGAAAAACCAACTTGGATGCGTGACAATACGGCCTTGTTGCCGTCAGTCACATGATTCCTCAAGTAATCCACTATTCACCCGGGATTCTGGGCGTTTTCAGAGAGAGCTGATCTGACTGTCAATATAAAACTTGTTTTTATTGGGGCCCTTGTTTTAGATGCGTATCGATTGTGTGTTGTCCTGTTCGGATATCTACTTCAAGTTGTTCCGTCTGGTCAAAGATTTTACAGATGTTGGGTACGGGTTTTTCAGGAAAAATATCTGAATTTCGTATCTAACGTTAAATTTCCATATAACCTTAGTGGAATTGCATATCTTGTGTCCCTAACGGGTATCTTAACATAAACGAATGCCTCAACTCGATTAGTTGAAACCTGGCGTGTATTGTTAGACAAGATAGGGATCGATTGAATCAGTTTTTGAATAGCCGGTTGGTCAATGGAATGACTGCCTTTTAAGTTCGCGAAAGGAGCGAGTACCGGAACAGCCATTCAAAGGAACCCAGAACACACTTTCGCTATGCTTCATAAACAATCAGGTAGCCTTAAGTAGTGCAGGAATTGATTTTTATGCCGAGTAAACTTCAAAAGTGGAGACCGATAGGGGTATCCGTTTTTGCGAAATGCTGACCTACTATCAGCTATCGAAAAAAAACCGGGTTTTCCGAAATGAGAAAAAGGATTGTTTGCATAAGGTAGAAAGGATTAAATGTACGGTGGTTTATACAAAAATTACTCTTTCAGCAGTGACAAATAAATGGTCTACGAGAAACAGGAGACAGCTAATGACGAGGTCTTTTTCGGAAATCAGCTGTGTACACCATAAATAGAGTATTTGGAAAATGGAACGAAATGCCGTCGCATGTGTTGACTACAGAGTACGGCAACAATTAAATGCGCCAAAACCGAAAGCGTGAATTTTCTCTGCCTAATGTGCTAAATAATGTCTTAGATAACCGGCGTCAAACTACGTCAGAAGTTGGGGTGATTTTGGGCTTCTGAACAGGGCTATATTTGAAACTACTTTAAATTTAATTCCACTACGTCACTCACTCATTATCCGAACGGACGCACTTCCACTTTTACGCGAACAAAACAAAGTATCAAAACAACTATTGACTCTACTCAGTCTGGCTGAGCGTTCGAACAGCAGTGTGACCAGATTATCCATCCTTAGACAGTGTTTGTTTCCAAATCAAGACTTTTTAAATAAAAAACCCGAGGTTTTATTCCCGGACTTTAATGAACTCACGTCTTTTTGAGTAGTCTTATTTTGTGCTTGGCTGGAAGCCATTAAAACGTACAATGTTAAACCAAAGCGAATTATCTCAGTCACAATGGGCACAAATGTAGCTAGCCATCATTTGTACTGCTCGATCTCGGAAGAGATAATAATGGGGAATACAGAAGTATACTATCCTCATCTGTCGTTAAAATTAAGAGGAAACGGACTGTCACCAAATGTTTTTGGAAGTGGATGCCGCGTTATGTGATCGTAGGGTTTTTCGGCTACAAATTCATCGGTTCTTGGTACAGTGACAAATGGGGCCAATCCGTTTTGGATCGTTGAATGTTTAAAGATGCGATAACATGCGTAAAGCAGGCCTCCTGCAGAAGCCACAGGATGACAAAAAAAGGAAGAAGAGACTGTCCCGGAAGAGCGTAGAGCCACTAGTTCAGTAGGATTGGGTGGGTGAGTTGTTTCTAAGATGTGGAATGGGGTTTTACAAACACAAGACTTCAAGGGTAGTGACCATCAGTTGGAGGATTAGCACGAAATGCTCAATGGTGTTCAGGGCCCGAAGAGGTCTAGCCAGTATAGTAAACAGGGAGCACCTGACCAAATATGAAAGATGATGACAAGAAAGTCCAATCAGCGCCAGGTACTGCAAATGAGAATGCCCTAGTTTGCCAGGTGTCCCAAAATGGGAGGCAAACACGACACTTTCAGGACAAGTTGACCGAGTTTGGAGGTGAAATGAGATATACCGACTCCAAAGAAACCAATGATTGGACAGTGAGCTTCAGGTAACGTGATAACACCAACGGTAAACTGTTATGCTGTGTTACAAACGAAGCATTCACCAACACAATAATTTGCTGGAAATTATGACTCCAGTCTTCTTTCCGGTACTATCTGGTAGCATTATCCCTATTTAACAAGGTAGTATTGTGCTGAAACTTGTGAAACAAAAAACATTTTCGAAAATGATTGCGGCTAAACGACACCAAGCCTTCCCTGGACTTAATAAACGTAGAAAGTTGATCATTTAAACCTTTGAAAATCAGACATATTTGCTCGATGGTTTTGAAAGTCACTAGTTTTGCGCTCCAAACCATTGTCCCATGGAGATTTAAGAAAAATACACTGGCTGTCACTGAGCATTCGGATACTATCCAAAACAAACCCAGAAAGAAGTAACAACTAGCCTTTAGGTCTTTTTCGATACTCATGAAAGGTGCCTGTCATTGATGTATTTTACCGCATTTACATTCGTGTGGCATTCTGCATACAATAAACTCATATCTATTCTCATCCTAAACAAGAGATTGAGTTGAAATCCAGGTGAATCTCCCATCAAAATCATGCGCTTTGGGTTCGCCTGGAACGTAAAGTTGATGGAAACTCGGGGACTGTGCCTACCTGGTGAGCTCGAAGGGGAAGAGCGAAACCGGTGGTGGGCTCCCGAAGATTTCTCAGCAACCTTATGCGTAGTGTGTCGCAATATCTAGGATATCGTACCTCTGAAACATGAAGCGGCCTAGTGCAGCACATTCAGTTGCCTGAAAACATCATCAGCGACAGATTCATCTTAGATTCATGTGAGTTTCGCGGAAAGGCAAATTGATATGCAGATGAATGTACATGCCGAATATCCTAAGCCTGTTTGCCGGAAGCTTCGTAGGTATTTTTCGTTGACATTTGAAGCAGGAAGCCTCTGTGTTTAAGAACGCCGAATGTTCTGTTTTGTGTAGAACCTGCGGGATGCGTTTTACTTCGCATCCGGAGTGATACCGCTCCAGACCCTGGAGTTTGAGGGTTTGAATCCCTCTAAAGATTCATGTGATGCGAACAGAAGTTGATATCCAACAAGATTGGCCATCGTATAAATGACCCAAGTCTTCGAGAGTAATACTCAATCGTAATTTACATACAGCTCCATTGTGGAGTGTTTGAGACTGGGTGGAATAGCCAGCTGGCCTTACCAGAGAGGATGAAGGCGCAGAACGCCTGTCAGATGCACTGAGCAGTAAGCAACTGAATGCATCCAATACAAATGGATCAACAGATAACAAAGTTGCTTACTATTCTCTGTCGTAAACTCTAGGTGCCTACTATTACAGTAAGATAGATTTAAATAGACTGGGGGAAAGGACGTGGCTGGGCTTGCTAGGATTTCGCTTGCAACTTATGTCAAAACCGTACCTCACAAGTAGAAAGAGGCGGCTCAAATGGTGTCACATCTAAATCCAAATAAACGAAATAAAAATAGTTCGACTACAAAAAAATTACCGTGCATTGACTGAGTTGTGCACCCTTGGTACGTGGACTAGTTTCCACACGGGGATCGCCAAACCCTGTCGGTTATATTGATATGAGCCTAAACTCCGTAACTACCAAATTCAACTAGCGCTAAAGACAGTCATGAAACTAGTATGAAGACGCGGTATTCTAATTATGGCAGGAGGTTTGAATGTTTGCACAGGTCTATATCTGACAAGGTACATCACCATTAGCTTGAAGTGCTTGACCTCACTGAGGGTTGAAAGAACAGCATGCATCTAGGAAGCTTCTCGGACCACCGTCTGTCGTGCATTTGAAACACTCACTTTTAGTACTTCCTTACATTGTTCTCAAAAGGCTGAACAGTACCAAGTCAACTCGACTTCATTCTAAACCTGCCGGGATGGACTTCCTATGTGGAGGGCAGCCGACCGTATTGGGAAACCTAAACAGGAAATAACGGCGGCTAGGGCTAAGAACTAGTTCAAGCAATATTCATGGTGCGCCCAAAAACCGGTCAAAAGCTGTGCCTCTCCAAAAGCTTGAATTTCTCTCTCCTGAAGAAAGCGGATTAACAAACCTAATTAATGTCAAGCATGTATTAGTTGACCTCAAATTAGTTAGCATTCAGATAGGGTGGAATTTGGTCCAAGCCGATGTTCTCCATTCAATACAGGCCATTAATGAAATTGACACTAACTGACGTCGTCAGAAATATTCGATACCTGGGAGTACATTACATTTCCCTGCACAGGCCAAAGACGCACATCTACTTGGCTCATCTGAACTTCGCCGATCGGTTACTTGGGTTGGTGCCTTACGAATTTAACTAAAGTAGCTTAGTACCGATGTCTCCTATTCATGGCCCTCTTCTTCGGCTACCTTGTTAACTGGATGCTTTATCATACCTTTCAGGACTACC